TAGGGTAAGCCGTTGCTGATTGCCTGGTATTCCCACCTCATCCATTATTTTCTTCTTTACACCCTGGACAGAATCATCTGGAAAAGCACTCAATGTGATTGTGGTCTTTTTGGTCGCTGTTTTGACGAAAAGCTTCAGTCCTGAAAGAAACAGGAAGATCAAAGAGCTTAGAACTGGGCCTCGGAATGTAAACGGACTGGGCCCTGGTGTAAAAAGCCCGGGGCAGCACAGCAAAACCTGAGTCAAAGGGTGCAGGAATTTTTCCAATGACGTGAGTTGTTAATTTTGTTGGCATCATATCTCTGGACTGATTCTGCATGTTGACAGGATTTGAGAAAATGTACTCAAAGGAATGAATCGGACCAAACTAAATTTAATTCACGCCAAAGCAAGTTTCTTTTTTCTACCTAAACTGGGTAATTTTTATCGCACTGGAGCGTGAATTTCAGTCGGCTACCCAAGTTGCACACTCTGAACCAATGAGCTGCTAATGCCCAGCCTCCTACCTAGGCTCTCTCCTTTTCCTCCCTTAACTACAAGGGAGGAAAAGGAGAGACTGGGAATGAGCGATGCAGGATTGAGCCATTGACGCAGGATGTATAACAACATTCTGCCAGGGCCATTCAGTTAAAGAGAAAAAGACCACCTGAAAAAAGAACTACTAGGTACAAAATTGTTTCTGCTGGTTAGCTGAAGTAAAGTGAAAGAGATGGTATTAGATTAGGATTGCAGGCAATACTTGGTTTTCACATGACGTCATCGCCACCATGTTGGATGGCAATAACAGAAGATTTCTAACGAGCTTTTGTAACTAGCTTCTCTTGCTTGTGTCATACAGAATGGCTGCCAAGACTTTTGTTATTTGAATCTCTCAGGATTGGCTGCAAACTCTCTCTTGAGGGTGCGACTCCAGAAAATGGCTGAAGTTTTTGCTAAATTTGCCAAGACTGCCAAAATAATCAAGGAAAGTAAAAAAATTAAAAGGCCTTATTCGTAGTCAGATTGTACCCTTTATCAATCAAGTTTTAATTAGGACAACTTTTCAATAAAATGATGGTATTGAATGATTGCTTTTCGTTAATATATTAATTATTTTATTTTTCATTCAATCATCTCTGTGCAATAACACAAAAAGCTGCTCTTTTGTCATTTTCACTTATCAGTACATCATCAAAACTTATACTGGGAAAAAATTTAAACAAATCTAGAACTATTACCTTGAGCTGGACCTTTTCCAAAGTGTATTTTGCATGCTTCATACTCGTCTTTTGAGATTGTTGTTTTAAGCTTCAACTCTGCAAGGCTCAATTCTGTCAAGATCTATTCTGTAACGAAACACATTTGAACCACATCACCAAGATGACCTGAAGAATAATCTTCCCACAATCTCTCCAGGATTGGGAGTGAATCACACCTCACTGTTATCAGCAAACTTCCCATAGCAATACCAGTGATAATGAATCGCATGTTTCCCATGAATGTCATAAAGTCATCAAGGTCATCCTTGCAACTTGGTGGCGCAGCCTCCAAGTACTTTGAAGCAATTTGAGCCAAGACTGTCTGTGCCTCAGGCTGAATGACATTGTTTGCTTGGGGAGCTCCTGATGACTCAGGTACTGCAGAAGTACTCCAGAAGTACCCTGGTACCCACCATTTTGATTTTATTGCTGAAAGAGGATTTCTAGTCTCTGTGTTGTGTTCCGCAGGTTTCATGGTTTCCACATCAATTCCTATTTTCAAAGCTGTTGAATTGGAACAATAATTATCAAATATTTCCTTATCTACCGGTAGTTTAAATCTTTTATTAGTTTTTAAGCATTTTATTGAAATGGAGTTAACATATTCTCAAACAGTAAATTGCAATTTGGCATCATCATTCACAACATTTTTAAATGTGGAATTCAACAAGCTTTGACGAATCACCACGAAGAGCTTTTTTACTAATCAAATACAGCTGAAAGAATTACTTGAATCTGATTGGCTAAGAGCAGTCAAGTGTAAGAATGGTATAAAAAGTGCAAAAGCACTTGCTCTATGGGCTAATGTACAAATTTTTTAAGCCTTTGAAAAATTTCCTTGCGCTTTATTTATTCCAAATTGCTCTCAGAATCATGTGATTACCCAAACAAATTCCTAGGCTAAGGGATGAACACAAGCTATAATATATTGCCTACATATACAACGTGTGGTTTGGTCAATCTGTATTGTTGCATTAATCAAATGCACAACAATCATGCGCATTTTTCATGACACAAGGAAACCTATGGCACTTACAACAAGTGTTTACAGTAGTTTACTTTCACAGGCAACCATGTCGAGAGGATTGAGCAAATATCAAAGCAAACTAGCGAGGAGAACTGGCGTAAATGTTTGTTTAAACTCTCCATGAAATGCAGATATCAAGTAACAACTATATTTAACTCTATTTGTTAAGAACCCAATTAACAACTAACTGTACTCTAGTTGAAATCCTCCATCTTGCTACTAGCCTGCGAGCAGGCTCTCATGTGTTGAGGCAGGAGCAAAGTCGATGGACAAAGTTGCGAGAGATGTGTCCGCGAGCTAAGCGAGCAGGTGCGGGGCATGAGAAATAAGAGCCTGCATGGAGCGCATTGTTTTCCGAATACAGCGCATTTGCTCACGAATGTAGCGTTGTGATTACCAGCGGCGATTGTCAAACACATGGTGTCCGAGAATCCAAGTGTGGGATTTATCCTGGAGACTTTTCGAAAACTTTCCATCGAAGCAAATAATCTGGTCGATCTAAAACACGAACAGGAAAAAGCTTTGAATTGTCTTTTAGAAGGAAAGGATGTTTTTGTGGTTATGCCAACTGCATACGGTAAACGTTGTATATTTCAATTGTTTGCAACTGCAGTGATGCAGTCGAGAAAGTTCGTGAAGAGTAACATCCAGATACTGTAGTGTCAGTGACTTGCCCGCTAACCAACATAATTCAGGATCAGATAAAGGAGGGAAAATCACTTGGCTTAGATTGTGCTGCGATTAAAGATGTCAAAGATTTGTTCAATGTTGCGTGCGGCAATACAAAGTGTTATTTGCATAATTAAAACTAAAGCCTCCACATGCAATTTGCCATCATGTTTGTTGATGCTTTTCTCAATTTCTATAGGCTAATAATCTGACACATTCAGCCAGCGAGTTGTCAAAATCTCGACACCTTCGAAGGGGCTGTATTCAGAAAACAATAGCGTCCGTGGAGGCTCTCATTCTCACCGGCTTCGCTCGGCGACAGCTTTGCTCGTTTCCTCGTGCCACCAATTATGAGTGCCTGCTCGCAAACTATCTTGCTACTAACTGGATTTGTTTCTAAAATGAACTGCTTAAGTTGCGAGTTGGGATTTTTAATTGTTTACAGGAAATACAGTTTACATTTACATGTATGTTCAACTGGGTAATTTTTTTTTTGGGGGGGGGGGGTTTATTGACAGTATCCCCAGTCTACAAGCACAGGTACGTACACTAAATCCAGTGACACTTAAAATTAGTCATTAACATAAATTCATAAATTATTTAGTTTTTGCCAAAATCATCTGTTAGGACTATAAATTCTCCATGTAAATTTCCGACATTCTTGTCCCCCTAACTAGACAGTTCAAGTTATGCAGTGATCACCATCTTGCTTGTATCCTTCAAATCAGGGACAAAAGTAGTTGAGACAAACCTCGAACACCCCAGGGCAGGGACTACCATTGAAGAGGTCAGGGATGGTCGTTATCTTGCTTAGGGGTGTAAATCGAGGATTTTGGTGTTACTTAGGGTGTGGAGGACCAATTGCCACGGTGATTATTTTTTTAGCCGTCTAAGTTTCTTTTATGGCGGCACTCAAGGAAATAACTCAAAAATGCTGTAAGTCACATTTGGAGGTCAAATAAAGTTCAAACATACTCAGATTAATATTAGTCTCCTTTAGAGCTTTAATTCAAATTTTCAATTAGCTTCCCGACCTTTTCACATGCCTACACTACAGATTTCAAAGTATGTATCATACTAGCATGCACAAACAATCATAAGAGCAGTTTTCACTTCTATGATTGTCAAGTACATAACTAAGAGAACCTACAAAAGGGCAGAAAGGTGATTACTGAACATACCTTTTAAACTTTCTGCTAAACCCTGACTCATCCTTTTGAATTTCTCACATTCATTGTTCCACGGGTAAGTTTGATCGTAGCTGTCTCTGAGCAGCTTGGCGTTGTTCTCTCTTTCTTCTGGACTTTGGCTGGACAGTTGTTGGATCCTTCGTGCCCACTCTGCAGCATCATCTGATTCAACAATGACAGACTTCCCAACTTCTAATTCTTGTAAAGCCTCAGCTATTCCAGATTCTCCGGCAACAAGAACAGGAACACCAGCAGAAATTGCTTCCAGGGCAACCATCCCAAACCCCTCAGTACGTGAGGGTACTGCAACAACATCAGACTCATGAAACATCATTTTGAGTTCCTCTTGCTCACTGCAATAACTACGGATTGTTAGTTGGTTACGGTTTATGCTTTTGTTTTCAAGAAACCACTGTTCTATTTTCCTGTGTTCACCAGGAGAAGAACCAACAAATGTCAGTTCAAACATTTTGCCAAGGGATCCTATGGCTTTTGCAACAATGTCATAACCTTTCAGAATTCGATCTTCAAAGCTTGCCCGTCCAAACATAAAAACACTAAACTTCTTTATCTCTTTGTCTTTTACCAGCTGCGTTGATTCGTTGGAAAACTTTTGCAAAATCCCAGGAGTGATTCTCTCAACCTTAACATCTGGAAGACATTTGCTGTACTTCTGTTGTAGCCGTGATCCAACTGCGACAACTACATGTGCTGCTCTGCACAACTCCATTTCACTTTTATGCTTCTTCTCATTCTCCTCGATTGTATCCACTGAGGCACTTTGCGTTGCTTTGAACTTTCCGAGATCTTCACAAAACACATGGACAAACTGCATCCACTTGCACTTTGCAGTTTGGACAATAAAATAGGCAG